AATTGTGCAATGCAAAATTAAACATAAAAGTACGAATGCAAAATGAAAATGCAAAGATACGAAATGCAAATGCATGTATGAAAAGGTGTTACTCAAGAGTGATCATTTTAAAACAGATTTCATTGAACACAAAAGTTTCGGTACATCGAACAAAACTTTACATATATGGGATAACTTTCATTCCTAACTTCTCCAAAACTTTACATATAGGGGATAACTTTCATTCCTAACTTCTCCAAAAATAAGTTAGTTTTCATTCCTGCTCAAAAGTTGAGTTATCAATCTACTTCAATCCCTTGTAAAGTCGGCTAAATCTATCATTTAAGATCCATATTGCTTGTATGGATAGCATCGTCTTTCATGACTTTGTCTTTTTCCTTCATCTTCTGTGTCAACCTTCGGAGTTGTAGGCAATGTTGGTCATTCTCCCTTGTAAGGGAATTTTTATGGTTACGGAGTTCTTTGATAAGATGTTCATGTATGTTGCAACTCTTTTTCAGTTTGGTGACCCCTGTTATCCACTCTTCTGGGGTGTTTCCTATGCCAACATTTTGAAAGGCTTGACTGATCTTTTGGAAATCTTCATGCATGGTTTCCATTTCTGTGCTCAATTTCTTGTTTTTATCCTTCAAATAACATTCTTGAGCTTCATAAAAACCTCCTTTATTCTAAATGCCTCGACTGATACTCTTATTGTAGAATGTTTTTTGGTATTAATCTAACAGGATCTTTGTAATACTTTTGGTATTAATATAACATGATCTTTGTGTGCATAACTCTCTTCTATCCTCAGAGTTTCCACATGATGTCTTTCCTTGGCTGCATCATAGTTTGCTTGATCATAAAACTTTTTGTCCATTTATGAAAACTTTTCAATTTGATGAACACTCTCTCGAGTCAACACCTTCTGGATATGCCATGATCATGCAATGCAAGCACAAGAAATCAATATAAACAAGTTAGAGCAAAATATATAAAAAAATAAAAAAATAAGAAAATATAAAATGGTTAGTACCAATTAATGGAAATAAAAGATCATATCTATCATGGTATATATATATATATCCTAATCTCATGCTTTCTAGTTCCATGCTTTGTTTGGAAAAATTAACCTAACCGCATGATTTCTAGTTTGCAAGCATTTATTTAGAATAAAAAAATGAAATCAAATATATTAAAAGCTAGATCTTATTTCTCCTTTGTGTACACTTACAGACAGAGTGTTAGTAATGTCTAAGATCAGGTGAATTTCTAGGGTTTATTATATGCAGGGTTTTGGTTCTAAGAGTAAAGGTACTCGAATTGTCCTTGTTGGTGCCCCCTTGGGCTGCCAAACCCTCAATCCTAGTCCATTACAGACTTAAGCGGATCGAGTTCAATTCGAGAGGACACATTTCTCTATGCCTGACATGGAGAATAAATTCTCACGAAGACATAGAGTATATGAACCCCGAAAGTTATTTTCTAGGTCTGACACGGAGAATAAATTCTCACAAAGACGTCGCTTTCACTTCCACTTAAAAGGGAAAAGAGCTCGGGTATATAGCTTATATTATGCAATGTAAGTATTGTGTGTGAGGAGAAATTTTCACACAAAAATTAATATCTAAAAAGCAATTAAATACAAATAAATATACAAGGGTATAAAAAAAATTGAAAGAAATAAAAGGAATCATAAATTAAATAAAATTGGGTTCTCAATTTCTAACTCTAGAGACAATATATAATCGACTTAGGTTAACCAGGGTCCCCAGCGGAGTCGCCAAGCTGTCGTAACCGTTTTTCGCCCGGGCACGAATTTTACTTGGCGGGAAAGTATGTGAATAAATAAATGGTTTTTTAAGGAAATGTTTGGAGTCGCCATCGGCCTTTTGGGTTAGGTAGGCCGAATACATAAAAATCATCTTTTAAAATAGTTTTTAAGAAAATACCATTTTAAAAGAGTAACTAGTCTGCATTTAACCAAAATTCGTTCTTTTTTAATAATAAAAAAGATTCGTGGTCGGTTACGTTTGGGGAATGATTAGCACCCCCACAACGCACAAAATTGGTCCATGTTGATTATAAATTGTCTCTAATAATAGAATTTAAGAATTCAAATATAAATTTAATTTATGATCCTCTTATTCTAGATTCAATCAAAAATTAAAATAATTTTTATAAAACTAAAGTAAAAATATATATTTTTTGGGTTTTATAAATAGAGTAATTATTTATTTAAAAATATTAGAAAATAACATCTAGTTGCTTTAAGACAGTCCCTTTCTTTAATATTAAAAAATAAATAAATATAAAAATATGATAATTTTTCTTAAAAAATAATTTAAATAAAACTAAATTAAATATATATAATTTCTATAATCAAAATATTTATTTATTTAAAATAACAGAATATGACATCTAGTTATTTTAAGACCGCCCTTTCTTAATATATAAAAATAAATAAATATTATTAATTTATCAAATAAATCAAATAATATATATTAATATGACTAAAATAAAGTAATAATAAAATAATAATGAAAATTTAAAGGATAATAATAAAAATTATATTAGAATGCAACTAAACAATGAATAAAATAAATAAAATTAAAATAACATGATTAAAATGTAAAATATCTAAATTATTGGACATAATTCGAATCATTATAAAATATAATTATTAACAGTGTAATTTAGCCATAAATATTAATACGGGATTCAAATAAAATTAATTAAAATTATAAGGGACTAAATATGGTATTTACTCTAAATATGTAAATATAGTAATAATGACTAAATTTTAAATTAAATTAAAATTTGAAGACCGAATTGAAATGATCATAAATTGATTTTAGTTACCAACTCGTAAAGTTACAAACTTGAAAGGACTGCGGAAAGGGTTTTTCCGCTTTAGAAATTACACAGACACCCCTCCCCAAAATGACGTCTTTTGGGGAGGGATTTAAATACCCTTTAACCGGTCCTCTTGGGCCAAATTTTCATTTTTTTTTGTTTTAGCTTCTCTCTCTATGAGGGCGAAGCTCTGCCTTCTCTCTTCATTTCCCACCCCGGAGGAAAACTGATCCCGGCTGGCCTCTGTTATTCCGTCGCAGACCACCACCACCGGCCACCACCCACGGTGGTCGAAACTTAGAAAAATATATCGAATCAAACCCCTTTTTCTCCTGAACCTAGGTCCACTTTCGTTTTGTCCTAAAAAATCCTAAATCACCGTAGATCTAAACAAAACCGAAGGGTTTTACCTCGGTTTTCACAAAGTTTTCCGGTGGTTCCACGGCGTTCGGCTCTTCTATGTAAGTTTCTTCACTCTCTTCTCTTTTCGTTCGGTTTGTAAATATGGGTCTTTGGTGGTTGCTTCCCGTTTCTCTTTATTTATTCATTTCTGTTCGAACGTTGTTGTTGGTCTGTCAGTTCTTCGTCGTGTCTTGCTGTGTTGGTTGTTGTTCGTCTCTATTGGTTCCTCTTTCTTGCCCTATTTTTTTCTTCTCTGTAGGGGATGGCCATTTATAGGCCTCGTCGGAGCTTCCTTCGGTCTGGTCCTAAGAGGGGTTTTCGGTGAGTCACCGAACTATGGTGGGGACTCACCATATATCTACGACGTGGATGGGCAGCTGACCTTCTAGAGGCTTCGGCAGCGAGGTGGCGTGGCAGTGGAGTGTCGGCAGTAGATATGACATCAGAGGCGGCGTCGCGTGGTCCCTAGGGTATCATAATCCTAGGGTTTCCTCTAAAGGGCTCTGGACCGTTGGATCTGGTCCAGATCCAACGGCTAATGATGTTGGGCGGCTGGTTGAGATGATACAAACCCTAATTGGGTTTAAGATTAGTCTTGGGCCGGTTCTTGTTGGGCCTAGATTGGGTCTGGGCATGTAAACGGGCCTCCGTGTCCATTGTAATTTGTAATATGTATTTTATTTAATAATAATAATAATAATAATCATCATATTTATAATAATTATAATAATTATAAAAATAATAATAATTTAAAAATGGAAAAATTAGTGTCTACTGTTTCTTTTACTCATTCTTTTACACATCCCTATCTAATTTTAACGTTTTTAAGTGTCTTCCTTCCCGTGAACCAGAACATTTCGAAAACTATTCTAGTTGACATTAGGGGTGAATTCGGTTCGGTTCGGTTTTTTATCAAAAATTGAATTGAACTGAGATAAACGATTTTTCAAAATTTAAACCGAAATCGAATGGTTAAAAAATCGAAAAAACTGAAACCGGTTTTTTTAACGGTTCGGGTTTTTCGGTTCGGTTCTGTTTATCGGTTTTTCAATGAAAAAATCACTTGAAACTATAATTTTTTTAAAAAAATTGCCTATTCGGTTCAATATGAAACAAATGGGTTCCATATGGAAAACCCGAACCGAACCGAATAAAATAAATTGAGACTTTAAACCGAACCGTATAATACCAAACCGAAAACAATGGTTCACCGTGATAAAGTGGTAGAGGATAGCTTTTGAGTACCAACCATATTAGTGTATCATATAGGATGTCATGGTCTTACTCTCTATGGGACATGAGAAAACAATAACAGATTTGTCTGGACATCTGTATATACATCTGTGCCTGTTTTGTTCTAGTTATCTGTCGGTTTCACGTTCAAGTTTTCTTGTAATGGATTTATTATCAATAACTAGCTGATAATCTGTGTTAACCTGGCTTCTCGTTGGTTACCTAATGTCAACCTACAATTCTAAAATGAGCAAGTAATGGGGAAGATTAAAAAACCAAGGAATAAAGATGGAAAAAGACTTTTAAATTGAAAAACGACCATCATTATTCGAGCAAATCATTTTTGTAATGCAGAATGAATGTTTTAATACTTGGTTGATTTTTCGTTTTCTTATCACTATTGATTCTTTTATTACAGTCAACACTGTTTCGCATCTGGTAAGTGAAAGGTTTGTTCCAAATGGCCTTAAAGGTTTTATTTCTTTCTCTTTTGCAGATATCCTAATCAAATTTATATTCCTTTATTTCAGGTTTATACCAGCATGTCACCTATAGTTCATATTGTTAATGTCGGGTCTGCCACCACAGAATCCCTTGCAAATGTCACGGAAAAATGCTTTCCTTTGTAATCGTTGAAATTAGGATGGCTATTAGTTTACTGGTTTCACATAAAAGACTCTCATGTCGGGTCATGACCATCCCGAACACACACACACATGCACACATATATAGAAGGTGAACGACATGTAAGTTTCTGATTGTGGGTGTCTAGTATATTCATCAAAGCATTATTTTTCCCAACAATCTTGGTCACACTTTTTGGACTTGTAATGTTTTTCAGGAGATCCATGAAGGATTGGACTTTGTTTCTCATGACTATAGAGGGTATTCTTTCGGATTATTCTCTGTGAAATTTTCAACCGATGGACGAGAACTTGTAGCTGGAAGCAGTGACAACTCAATATATGTTTATGATCTCGATTCAAACAAGCTTTCCCTTCGAATTGCGGCACACACTGGGTTCACTGCTTGTGTATTCTCAAAATGATAAGCTTGTCGTTTTGTAAATATTTTATCGTGGGTATTGTTGATTTTTCCCAATTATCAGTTTATCCCTATCCACCACTATAAGTGATTATGCCCCCCTACTTCTAAAACATTTTCTATAATTCGAGTCTTCTTCACGAACTGACTTGAATGAGTGAATGAATAATAAAATGTGTGGAAGTTGAACATTTGGCTTCCTCAAGAATAATATTTAACGGAGAACAGATACTTTTTGTCTCGTATTATTATTGCTCTCTTGTATTAGTTGCCTCTGCTGACTTGTGGTTGTATCTAAGTTAGCTCTTGCCTTAGATGTCTGTCATTTAAACGCCCAAATGTTGCATGAGCAAGAAAATGCTTTATTTTCAGGGGACCTAAAGTCGATTCCTATTTCATCTTGCAGGCTGATGTTAACACAGTAACCTTTGCCGATGAAGGTGGTAATTTGATATATTCGGGGAGTGACGATAATCTCTGCAAGGTAAATTCAAGTCAAAGAAAGCCTGAACATGGTATTGTAAGCTTGGGATTTAGATATGTTGTAATTTCGCTTTTGATTAAGTAAAGGATGGTATTATTTTGATTTTGTTAGGTGTGGGATAGACGTTGCTTCATTGCAAAAGATAAGCCAGCAGGAGTCTTGATGGGACATCTAGAAGGTATTACATTTATCGACAGTCGTGGAGATGATCGTTATTTCATATCAAATGGTAAAGATCAGACTATAAAGCTTTGGGATATCAGAAAAATGTCCTCCAATACCTCCTGGTACGCCTTTCTTCGGTTTCCCAAGTGCATAGTTTAGATTTTCTCTGCGTGCATATGCCATGTGTGTATGCTATTTAACAGAACTTTATTTATTTATCGAATTGAGTTTCGGCGATAGTTGGAAGCTAAAGCTAAACGACATTTTATTTGTTTTGCAGCAATTTAGGGTTAGGAATTACGAATGGGATTACAGATGGATGGACTACCCACCACAGGCCAGAGATTTTAAACACCCGTGTGACCAGTCTGTGGCTACTTATAAGGGTCACTCGGTCTTGCGGACTCTTATTCGCTGTTATTTTTCCCCCGAACAGAGGTGAGTGCTCTTATTTGCTGTTTCTTGATATATTAGTCAAATTAGCAAGATATTTTCCTTCATCTAACTCTGTCTGTGTTGAAGTATTTGTTAACATGTCATCTATTTCTCAAATCTTTTGTTGCAGCACGGGTCAAAAGAAAAATCTAGCCGTACATAAATAAACAAAAATTCTCGATGTAAGTTTGTTCATGTGCCTCATCCATATATATATATATATATATATATATATATGCGTTTGGACTATGTTAATGAATGCAGAGAGCTGGTTCTGCAATGTGGAAACAAGCATCATTGCAGCGTAGATTTGATCAGAGTTAACTGCAGCGATGATGAGAGGTTTGTGTTTTTCTAGAATTGTGGTCGACTACAGCGATGGGTCCGAGTAAAAAGACAGAAGGAAAGCATAAGATGGAACCGTAGTGAAATGCTAGCTGTTTTGGTTTGTTGGGTTCATGGTGTAAGGCTGTATGCCCCTCAATTTCTTGAGGGTGTCCTTAGGAAACAAACAATGAGGGGTGGGGCTTGCATTCCGTGCATGGAAACTTCTGCAGAGAAACGGCTAAATCTCGGTGCTTCACCCACTAATGTCAATTCCTCCCGGCTTCTAGGCCCATTTAAGCTTGGCTCATTCACATTCACATATACTTTACTTTGGATCGTATTCATTATCCATCGACTTTCTATTTAAATCAGAAAGAATGAATTGTTATCGATCAACATCCTCATGTTCACCTCTGACGACTGTATAGTCAAACAAAAAAGGGTGAACCGCCATCGAACACCTTAAAATTTTTGGTTTAAGTTATTTGGAAAAATGGCCTACCAAACCACTTTCCCCCAAGATTTTCAGGGTTTAAGTAGCTGGGAGAATAAAGGCTTTATACAACATAAAGAAGCCACAATTGTACAAAAAAGAACATCCATGGGAAAAGTTGATACCCCATACATGAAACCCTAAACCTTGGACGGTGGATTAAATCATGCATTGGGGAATTCCTCAATGCATGTTGATGGGCACACGTGGTTTTAACTTTTAGTTCCTGGAAAACAATGCCTCGTCATACTTCTCTAGGTATATGAATATTAAGTTATTTATCGGTTCTAGATGTGACAAATTAGTTCATTAAATTCTACTTAAATATAGGAACTTATTGGATATAAGATAAAGTCAGCCCTCACATTATCCGATGGAATAAGACACACTGTGTACTAGAATAAAGCAATACCCACTATGCATACAATACAAGTAATAAAATTTGGCATATCAATTATCTCTTTATTCTCTTTATTACAGGTAACAAGTATGAGTAATAAAAAAATGATTTTCTTTAAATAAAATTTCAATTTAAATTTAAATTATATAATAGAATTTTGTACTTGTTTAAATACTTTTTTTGGCTTAATACATTTTTAGGTGCCTAAATTATATCTCAAATTGATTTTTGGTGCCTAAAGAAATTTTCATTAAAAATATGTGCTTAATGTTTTCTCTGTTATACTTTTAGGTTACTAATGTTAAAAAAATCATTGAGTGACACTTGTCAAATCAGATTTTTTAAAAAATATATTTTTAAATGATATTTTATTTAAAAATTGTTGAGTTAATCGAATGGATGAAATAGCCTAGAGGGGGTAATTGGCAATTAAAAAAAATTTGGTGGAAGCTTGAGAGAAAAATATAAAATTGAACACAAGAATTTAGAGTGGTTCGACTTTATCAACCAAAGTCTACATCCACTACCTTAGTTATCCACACAAAAGATTTCCACAAATTCACTAATTTGTATCTACCTTCAAGGATAAGGTGTAACCTTACAACTCCCTCAAGAATTATACCCGAAATTCTCGAGACACTCTCTCAAAGAGAAAATTACAGATTGCAAACTTATAAAATCTTCATTGGGAATGTGTTTGCACAATTCAATAACAAATAAGAACATTTGAGAAATAAATACAAATGAGTACAAAAAGTGTTCTTTGAAAACAAAATGAATATTGAAGAATGTTAACTTAATTTGACTGAAATTTGTTGTTTTTTACTTTCTCTTTTATCTATTGTCTTCACATATGACTTAGAATCTTGTTTTTATGCTCCCTCAATTAATTCCAGCCGCTTGGATTGTTTTGGGAGTGAATAGAGTCGTTGGGAGTAGTTTCCCACATTAAATGTTGTCTAGAAGCTTGTAGTATCGATACTCAGTCTCTCAGTATCGATACTTCCTGCATTAAATACAAAAATATGACCGTTGGGAAACTCTAGTATTGATAATGTTACAAGGTATCGGTACTACTATATTCAGTAGTATCGATACTATATATAGTATCGGTATCATTTAAGTATACTAGAATTTTGATAGATTCAAAACCAAAATGGTAGTATTGGTACCACCACTAAGAGTATCGATACTACTATACTAAGTAGTATCGCTATTGTTTATAGTATCGTACCATTTTAGTATTCTGTTTTGTCAAACTTGCATACAATATCGGTATTACCTTAGTAGTATCGGTACTACTTCATAATTTTGGGCTTCAGCATCGATATCTGAATCGATACTTCTTGAACAATATCGGTAATGTTCTAGTAGTATCGGTATTATTATACTTAAAAATCATTTTTCACTTGATTGAAGTTCGAAACCCTTAGTAAAAAATATTTCAATAATATTTCCAGTATAAGACTCACTTTTTTTCAGTAGAGTGAGGAGTAAAATTGACCTTTTAACTTTAAAGAATAATTTATATATTTGAATAATTCAATCGAATATGATCTTAAAATTTGTTAAAAAAAACTATTTAACAATTTTTGGTATATCAAAATATCAAAGTGTTTTCAACAATCTCCCCTTTATGATATAACAAAACATTTAAGAATTTTAAGATTTTCTTGAAAAAAATACTCACCCTTACTCTAACATTTCTCCTCTTTTTTGTTAAATCAAAAAGATAAGTTTCAGAATAAACAGGATACATAATAAAGATGTGAAGAGAAAAAGTAACAAACAAGTTAGTCAACATAATTAATATCCAGAGGCAGTGGGCATGGTCGCAATAAAAGGAAACATGGCTGAAAATATTCGAAATATTAAAAAAAATCTATCAGACCATCCAAAACATAAAAGAAACATCAAATCCAAAATATCAAAGTCTAAGAAAATCACCCATGAGTAAATTCAAAGTATGACATGTAAAACTAATGAAATGCAACTAGCAAAGCAAAATGATTAAGCATTTGACAGAGGATCAAGATCCGTAGGAGGTATGCGAAAAGAAAAAAGTCTCGAGAAAGAGTGTCAAGCCTATTCGTCACTACGTCGAATCAAGCGAGGATGTCTCATCGGGATTCCACATGCATCGCTTGTAGTGTCAACTGCTGAGAAGCTATCTCAAATACTTGAGTCCCCAAAGCAGTAAAGTGTGACTCCATAGAAGCAAACCTCAAGTCCAACGTCTCCATCATGGACTGAAGGTAAAGAGGAATCTCACCACTAGCTCTAGGAGGATTGTCAGAAACGTGATTCATTGGAACGTCAACGTCATGCAATACATCATCGTCTTGCGGTTGAGTTGGAGCCACTCAAGATGAACTTGTACTGGGTGCCTCTTTTGTTTTCCTTTTCCAAGTGTCTCCAACTTGAGTCTATTCCAACTTATGAAGAGATGTGAGATCAATATGGGTACCCAAGGGGATGACAACATCAAGATCAACTCGAAGATGACTTTTAGAAAGAAATTGCTAAGAAGACAACCATGGTGTCCACTAATTCACGAAGATGATTTGAGCAAGGTTAATCATTTTATTTTCTTGAAATCAGTGAAGCCACCAAACGTCAATGCTACAGAGAGAAAAATATTTACCTTCATATGGTCGAAACCACCAAGAGATGATCAAATGAATGAACCTTTCATGAAAATCAAGAACACTAGCACTGTGCCCTACGTCTAAGACTGAAGGGACAAAGTCTCGTTTATTATAAATATCAATGTTTTCAAGGCCAAAAGCACTGGCGATGGACTCGGAATCAAGAGTAATGTATTCCCCCAAAAGATAGGAGTGAATACTTTCGGTATGAGTGCGAGCTTCATTTTGAACACAAACCGTATTGGAATAGAAAATACGGACGAGTTGGTGATAGATAATAGGTTTGAATTTGAAAGTGTTATCAAATTTTCAAGCTTTGAAACGGGGAATGTATTTAAAATTAATGGCAGTCATAGCCGAAAGGGAAGGGAGACGCTCACCCCTAAGGGCATAAGATTCAAAATGATCAAGATATCGTGAATGAAGATTTTGACAATTGGGTTCATTAAAACAAGAGTTCATGATGCTCATTTCATTTTTTTTATTTGAATTAGCATTTGGATGAGGATTGGGAGGTGGATTAGCACGAGAGTAGGATGACCAAGGACGTTTATGAGACATAGTAAGGGTAGGGATAAAGTAAAACCTGTAAAGAAAAACAATATATATATATAATATGCAACCAATCAATCCCAAAACTCAATATGAGTTCACAATTCAAGGCATGATATAACGAAATTAAATTTAAAAAATAATAATGGGCCAAAAAGAAAATAGTGTTAAATATATATATATATATATATATATATGTAGATGTAATTTTTTTAAAAAAAATTGATTGATTTGACTGAATGTAGTTAAAAAATTGTAGATTCTAGTGTAGAAATATAAAATAAATAAAGTCCATTCACTAATTTAATAAAAAACTAACTAAAACTAAGCCTAATTCGAAAAGAAAAAGTTAGGGTTTTTTAAAAAATTACCTTGAAAAGTTGGATTGAGATGGAATTGGAGATGAATGCATGAATTTGATGATACTAGCATGTATGAATGATGGAAAACAACACAAAATGACTCCAAAACGAATGAATGAAGCAAATTTTCGAGGGGATTATGGAGCGTTTCGGTGGTACTTGAGAGAGGAAAGGGAAAAAATAAAGAAAAAAGTGATTTTTTAGTTCAATATATGCTAAACCCGACCAAGAGTATCAGTACTCCATGGGGAGTATCGATACTATAAAGCAAAAAAATTGATGGTCGATACCGAGTATCGATACCCTATCGAGGCTGTAAGAACAGTATCGGTACTTTATGAATAGTATCGATACTGACTAAGAACAATATCGGTACTGGATGAACAATATCGATACTAAATGCACAAAATGGTCCAAAAATGCTGCAAATAAAAAAATAGAATGCATATTTTAAAGCACTAATAGTGGTGTATGAAACTCTAGATAGGCAAAGCAAATATGTTCAACCAAGCAAATTTACATTTAAACATAATGTGAACATATTGTCAATTTCCATGAAAGTAATAAACTCCCCCTGACTAATAGCATATAAGGCATTAAAGAGGACATATTGCATGCATTTTTCATAAAATCATAAAAGTGCATAAATTATTTAAATGCAAAGTCAAGGTAGGTTGGTTAGACCCAAAATCTTTTTTTGACTAAAGGTTTTGTAGAAATGTCATCTACTTGATGCAAAGTATCCACATACTCTAGAACTATATCTTCTTTTGAGACATGATCTCTAATGAAATGATGTCTAATTTTTATGTTCTTAGTTCTAGAAAGTTGTATGGGATTTTTAGTAAGACAAATAGCACTAGTATTGTCACACTTGATAGGAATGGTACCAACATCAATTCCATAGTCTAA